TTATTAATAACCACTAGAGTCAAAATCTTGATATACTCCTAATCCAGGAATTACCAACGATTGCTTACTAGACCTATATTAACCACAGTGCATGGCGACTCTACTGATTAACCTATACTAAGGAACCAGTCCAGTTCCGCAGCTTACTTTATATGAACCGAAGAATCTTAATGTCCTTACACCGCCAAATCCACTGTAATTATCCAGATATGGTAGCTATTAAAATCTGGACCCCGGAGCTATAATATCTGGTATTTTCTATCTATATTCTACTAATTGTATTATATGACACGTTTGAGGTTAACAGCGCTTAACAGATTCTAGAAGTAATTTAAACAAGTATTTAACAGTATACTGAAGGAAACCACTGTATAACTAAATTTATCTTAGCCAATGATCTCAACCGCTACCACCTAGCATAGAGCCACTGGCTAGTACACTACCGTCTCGCACAACACGCAGAAGAGTTAATTGACTTTTTCCAAACCCACGAGCTACAATAGTGCCTAGCCTTAGGCCAGCCGACTTTCTGATCTCTCAGTGATCCTGGAAAGGCCTTAGTCCTAGATCTCACTTTTATAAATGATCTAGCAAGGCTGATTAGATACCATCTTTATCACAATTACTATAGGTTAGATTACTGTAGGATATACTCATAATGGGACCTATACCTAGAATATAGTATAAAATTGAAATCAAAAAAAGTATATAACTGCGCTGACTGGTCTAAAGTAGGTTAGAGTATACTCTCTTTAATTAATCTATAACTAGAAATCCTGTTATAGTAGGATCTAAACCACGCGGTGCAAAATCTGATTTAAATAATTACTACTGTTCTTGACCAGTATGTCCCAGTCTAAAGGCTATTCTTATACTTTAAAAGATGGTTTACTGCAGAATTTAAAATCCAGCAGATCGAGGTTAATTAAAGCTGCTGGAGGTGGTAGGATGGATGCGCTAACCTAGGGCCTAATAACCTAATAATGAAAACCCTTTTTAAAGAAACGCGACGCAAAAGACAAGAATAGACAAGGGCTATTAAAAAGGTAAAGGCTGGTCACTGGAAAGAATTTCTCGACAAAGCCAGCGAAAGCCATCTTTGGAAGGCAGCCACCTACATGCGCCCCCGAGATGCCTACATAAACATCCCATCACTTAAGATTGGCACGGAGGAAGTGACAAGTAACCAGCAAAAGGCAGAGATACTCTTGAAAATCTTCTTCCCAAAGATAGTAAATCCTGAAAAAGAAGAAATAGCGACTGCCGTAGACAAAATATTATAGAAATTAATTACGGAACTGGAAGTTTATCGATCGCTTAAGGTTGCCAAGGGAACCACTGTATCTGGGAAAGATAGAATCCCTATACTTGTATAGAAATACTTATAGATATATTTGAAGAAAACTATTATTACTATCTTTACAAAATTTATGGATCTAAATCACTACTCTATTCAATAGAAAAGCGCGTAGATTATAGTACTGCGAAAGCTAGGTAAATTGGATTATGTAGTATTAAGAATCTACCGACCTATCTTACTTTTAAATATTTTAGGGAAGATCTTAGAAGTAGTTATAGCCCGAAGGCTGTTTTATTAGATGGAGAGATTTGATCTACTATCGAATATATAATTTAAGAGTAGACCAGGGCGCAATACTGAACAAGCGCTTCTAATATTTATAAACGCAATTGACTGGGTATGGGTACGATCTAGAGTTGTTATATTAATTGCCTTTGATTTAAAGGGTGTATTTAATAGGGTTAACAAGATTAGTCTCGATACTCGTCTATGGGTGAAAAATATTCTATTGAAAGCCTGAAAATGGATCTATAGCTTTATAGAAAACCGAAAAACCTGTGTTATATTTAACGACTTCGAGACTGAAATTCTACTACTAGAAAATATTGGGCTTGTATAAGGATCACCACTCTCGCCGATTCTTTTTAATTTTTCTAACTTAGATTTGGTAGATCAACCAGTTAATAGTAATAGTAGAGTATCTACCTTTATCGATAACTACTTCTGATGGCGAACCAATTTATTGGCCGAAGAGAATATTAAAAAGATCTAGAAAAAAGATATTCTATAGATTAAGTAATAGGTACGATGAACGGGCGTGTCCTTCGTGGTGGAGAAGACTAAACTAATTTATTTAATCTAACGTAAGAAAGTATATAGTATAGGGTAAATTTTTATAAATGGCTAGCTTATTAAACCAGCCAACACAGCCAAGCTTCTAGGAGTGATCTTTAATAAAGAGATGCGGTGGAATAAGTATATATAATAAGTAGTTAAAAGAGTAACTAAGATTAATATAACTTTAGGAGGGCTTCGACATCTCTGGCTAGAGTAGATATATTAACTCTACTAGGTATATATAATATTAGTTATAGACTATATATCTATAGTCTAGTATAACTTACTTCGAGACAAAATATATCTTAGACTGCTGGAGACTGTTCAAAGAATAGCTCTTATCTAGATTCTCTTTGCCTTCTAAATAGTATTAATAGTGATACTGGAAGCTAAATTCTATATACTATCTATTTATCTATGGCTTAAGTAATGGGTGTAAATAATAGCCGCTCGTTTCAGTACTTTGCTAGAAAACTATCTAGTTTATAGAGTTATAATTTGAGCTAAGGAACGCAGCGTATACATTGTAATAGGTATACGATTCTTTTTGGCCGAAACTATTTAAATAATAGATCTCCGCCGTCTATAGACTTTGGAAACTATCGATCCTAGGCTACTAGTACCGTGGTGGACTCAACCCTTTACTATAATTAAAATTGAACTGGATTAAGAGAAAGCTAAAGAGTAAGCTTTAGCTAAATGGAAATCTAATAATATTATAGTTTTCTTGGATATATTAAGGTAACGCAATTACCTGGGAGTAGCTACAGTCGCTTTGGACTAATACTAGAATATTATAGTATTATAATAGATAAGTATTAGATTAATAGAATATTAGTCTGTATATACAGCGGAGCTTATAGTAATATTCTATACTATTAATCTAGTATATTAAATAGCTTAACAAAAGTTGACTAGTATAAATACCTATTAATTAGCTATAATACTAAGCGATAGTATATCTACACTTTAAGCGATCGCGAACACCTAAAATAGATTAGGACAGCGAATCATTCTAGCTATTTAATAAGTAGTGGGAGAGATCCAGGTGTAAAATATTCCGGTTTACCTTTAATAGGTCCCAGGACACTGCGACGAACCCGGGAATAATATAGTAAACTACCTAGCGAAGGAAGCTGTTAGTGTAGAGAAATAATACCCCTTTTAATATCTTCTATTCTGAGAAAGGGATTTTATTCGACAAAAGATTATCAAGTAATGGGAATAAAAATAGAAGATTTCCAAGAAAGATAGTTATCTCCACTAGATTAATAAAGTATTATCCTTAATCCACGCTCGATAGCTATACGGCTCGCTTCGACGGAACCGAGTCTATTTATTTATATAACTAAGAACCGGCTACTTGTAGCTAGCGCTATACTATAAATTACTTCGATTCTAGAAAGATAATATATATGTATGCGGGGCTAAAGAAATAGTAATCTATATACTAATCGACTGCCCAGAGCTGCGGTAACCTTGCTAGGAATTATGGAAAAAGATCAGAATTGTATTTAATAGTATCTCGACGATATTGGGAAGAACCTAATAAGGTAAGCTAAGTTAATCTACGCAAGATACTAGTATTATAAATGCGGTATTAGATTTTATAAAGATATCTTAGAGATTTCGAAGCTGCGTACCACGAGAGTCGCAGAATAGAACCCTAAATAGTGGCTAATACAGGCCTTGACAAGACTCTAAGTTCGTCAAAAAAGTAATAGTTCACTGTAAATAGATAAGATAGATAAATAGCTATAGTTGGATCCTGCATATCGCCGTAGGCGAGGGGTCAGCGTATGAATACACACACACACACACCCTGTACGAACCAGCCTCTTTCGACTAATAGAATCGAGTCGGGTGCACTCGGCCGAATGCCGCTATGCTAGTCTGAGGAAGTTATTTCTCAGCTAAATTATAAAAAGAGTACTCTTCTAGAATCGCGTTCCATGGGACACGCACCCCTTGGCCTCATGCAGAATTCTTCCAATCGGTCCATTGTGCCTGGTGTAGATGTAGTCGTGGGAGCTTTTCGGGGCCACCTCGCCTTGGGTATCGGCTGGTTGTTGGAAATCCACGACATCGACCAATCCCAACTTGGGAATAAGGACGCACTAGGGCCATCAGGAGGAGACACTACTATAAGACCAACAGGCTCCCTTACATAGCCCTTGGTCTTCATGTGAGGAAGGAGCAGCATAATAAAAAAAAAGAGGTTCGCAGTTACAGGGCTTCCGGATACTGGTGTCACCAGTTGCACTCTTCGCTTGTTTCTGCAACCCCAAAGTGTAGCCACGCTAGGCCTAACTTGGAACTAGTTGAAAAAAAAATGGTTTGTGGGGATATGCTAGTGTACTATAATGACACGTAATACATACGATGGCACTTGATGGCATGTCTAATGACATGGAAACATCTGAACTAAAATGAGTGATCGTGGAAGCAGAGAGATTTCTAAAGAGTCCCAATTGTATATGTATATAAACTACCTCTAGACCTCAAACTTCCTAGTCTATTCTTTGAGAGGCAATTTGAAATAGACAGGACTTGAAGAGGTTCTGAATTCATCAAGAAAGTGATGGTTCACGATCAAAGTGTGCATATGTATGTCTATAGGGAGTCAGGATAATGGATCCCTGAATGTCGCCTAGGGCGAGGGGCCAGCGTATGAATAGTAATCCTTGACAATTACACTTCTATGCCATTGTTTTCAAGGATCCGTGGTTGAGATCCCGGCCAGAAGATGCGGGGTAGATTTCGGCCAGATAGTTCTTCCTCTATTACGCTCGTTCTTAGTTCCTCACATAAATTTGTTCGTCATCAGGGAGCCAGGCAGCTCGCTGATGTCGACCACACCTCAATGGATTCTTCAAACGACGATGCGCCCCAGCGATCATGGCTCGCTGGACGTTGTCCCTGCCAATATACGGATTGTTAGAGAAATAGATTGTTCTGATGCGTCTTCACAGTGTTTGAAATAGAACTCGAAGGGCGGAAATGTGCTTTGAAACTTGTAAGTAGGTGAGGCTACTAGCTCTTTACTTGTTACTGACGACTTAGTTTCACGACAACGGGGATCCAGGATTTACCGAGAATGGTCTAGACCTTAATCGGTTCTGCTGCGAACTAAACGCCTATATGAATCTTCGGGAACACGGTGTCTGCGAGCGGGGATTCGTCCCATATTTCTACGGCCACGTTGATCAAGTCGACCCTACCGCATTCTACACAGCTTTTCAACATTTCGCGCACGATAATTATCACCCTAGAGCAATTCTACTTGAATAGCTTCCGAATGCCGAAAGTTTGAATTGCGAGAGCTATTCTGAGGCCTGTTATCACCAAGCAATAGAGGGCATGAAGCAGATCCACGCTGCTTACGTTCACCACCGAGATATATACCCCAAAAACATACTCGTTATTCCTGGCGACGAAGAGCGGATGGTATGGGTCGACTCCGATGTCGCTATTATCTTTACGACTGCAGGGCCAGATGGACAGCGGTTGAGTGAAATTGAAGATACGTATGTTGCTGAGTTTGGGGAATTTTTGGTTTGTCCAGCTCTGGCTCTTGTCATCTGAAGGAAACTAATCTTCATTGTCTAGCGAGAAGACCAAAGACAAGGGCTCTGTACTAATACCAGGTTGTATTAGTACATGTCGCTTTCGTCTCCATCATTGCATTTGCAAATATCTCTGCTACATCAACCAGCGACTGACTAGACAGGAAGACCCTTGTTTCGGTAGGCGACAAACTATCAATGACAGAATAAAGTTTAGTAGTTTTTTAACTACACATTGATGGAATCATTCAGGTCAAGGCCTTCAATAGTATCTTCCAACACGCCAAGAAGCAGTTTGAATGTAGAATGATCACAATTGTGTTGGTAACTGTGATAATACGAAAATGGGCCGTACCATACCGGCGATCTGAACGATAACACTTTTTGCACGAGGGATCTGTAGCTCAAATCCGGGAAAGGAGCTACAGGCCTCAGCGAGAGCAAAGCATTCAAATGCATTTCTTTTGTCAGTGCCCCGTACATGATTGAGCTGCATTCGAAGCTACACCCTTTACTGCCGTTTTGGAGTTCATCGCGCGTTTCTTCAAGTTGAGAAATCAGGCCAGCGATCGCTCCCTGTCTTTTATCATTCATCGATCCTGCTTTCAATTAGTAGTCAAGCGTATCTGAGGATTCAAGCGCCCATACTAATGATTTTCTCGGGGATTGGGAGCCCGAGATTATCAATCCAGCCATTACTTAAAGACATGGCACTTGAGGTGGCTTCTTTGAAGTTAGCGGGGCGGTGGAAATACCAGGCAACCCATAACCAGAGAATCAAGTCCCTAGAATACGTTGCGGGAGTAATATCGTCTAGAGCGTTGATCCATGTATCTGCGAAAAAGACTACAGCCTCCCTGCAGTCGTAGTAGTCGGCTAAAACAGCGACTTTCGCGAGCATCTCAAGCGTCAGTTTACGCGGTATTTGATGGGACTGACAATGTATAATGCGAAGCATAATTAAGAGCGCGTCGACATCCCAGCTATCCGCAGTGATTTCAACCGAGCCTTTTCGTAGATATGTAATGCTTTCTTTCCACCCACCAGTGATTATTTTCTTGAAGACTGAGGAGGAGAGGATCAAATGTTTCGCCGATACTTGGATGCGGAAGCAGTTTTCCACCTGTTTAGTAACCCCAATTTCGGCAGGTCCTTCTGCGGGTTCGTCAACTGGTTTATCAGCGGGTTCTTCAGCGGGTTCTTCAGCGGGTTCTTCAGCGGGTTCTTCAGCGGGTTCTTCAGCGGGTTCTTCAGCGGGTTCTTCAGGGGATGCTTCAGGGGGTGCTTCAGGGGGTGCTTCAGGGGGTGCTTCGGCTGCGGGCCATCCAGGAGCAGACTCTTCAAATGACGGCTGAATAGGTTCGGATGGAATATGAACAGCACACCGCCCAGAATTAGACACTTTCTTCTTTTTCTTCTTCTTCTTTTTGAGCGTTTTAATCGGCTCATTTCTCAAAGCTTCTATCCCTTCCGCCGAGTTCTGGATTTCATCGCTTGGGCCGGGAAAGGTATACGCAAGATTGTCGCTGGTCAGAGCTCCACTTAGTTCTGCAAAAGGGGCATTTGGATTGTGTAGAACTATTATAACTTCGCCGTCTGGGTCGATAACGTGAGTCGCTCGGTCCATGATGGTTGTTCGTTGCGGGATCTCACCATTGGAAACTCTCTTGTTTGGTACGTAGTAGAAGCATTGAAGTGGGGGGTGAAGGAAGATAAATCTAATGATAGTCCTGCTGATTATCATGTGTTTTTACAAGTGAGATAGATGTGGCAGCCTATGATTGGCATTGGTGATGAGAGCCTCGCAGATACAATGTGGTCACTGATGCATTCATGCCCAACCAAATGCGGGTCGTGGTTAGCATTAATTGGCTTGATAATATGTGCTCTTACCAGTGCTCATAACAGTTACGTTGGATAAAGGAATGTTGAACTACAGTCGGTCTCGAAATCGCTCTGACTTTCTCACATATAACAATTTTTTTCTAGCCCCACTACCAAGACCTTGGCTTGAAATTTATATTTATCCAGTGAAGGCGGATATACCTATTTTTAATAGGGAAGTTACGGCTGCCCTTATTATCGGTAATTAGGGAATTATAGCTCTTAAACTAATTTCTTGGCAGTGGGGCTAAGAAACAACTGTCATGTGTTTGAAGGTCAGACTGATTTCGAGAATCACTGTACTTATATTGAATCTACGACCAAGTCAGAAGTTCCCATTTAGACTGTGACTGATAGGGAAGCATCAGAAAACCCCTCTAGATGCCTGAGATGATAGTACATCCACGTTAGAATTACTATTAATATAGCATCATCGTCTCGCAGCTTTAGTATCCATAGTTTCCCCTCGGCTTCTTCTATGTTAGAGAAGCTGAGATCTTGAATAATATCTCTTCCATAGAAGGAATATTATGTACAAGGTTTCCCTTTGAAAGTAGAAAGAAGCTTTCCAATATCCTCTCTCGAGATAACGAGCATAGGTGTTTCCCATAGTTCCTGAACGTTTTATAGGGTAGGCAGATAAGCTTCACGCAAATTATTAATGTTCAGCGTTATTCCAGACGTAAAGCGAATCTCGTCGCATGACGGAATATAAATATACTTATGTAGAGAACTTTTGAAGAGCTCCCAAGTTAATATATCCCCTCTGCCACCTATAAGACAAAGCGTCATATATAATTCTCCACATATCTCTTGTTTATTCTGGGATTCAAGCTGGTTGAGTCGAGAGCCAATCAATACCAGTCTAGCGTTACCTTCATCTATCACTTTGTTAAGCCATTGATCGTTTTTGAAGATGGTAGACCAGAGTAATATCTATTATCTGTCTTTTTTCCGCGGGTTGAGTCCCAAGCTAAATAGGAAACGATTTCGAAATAGAGCTGGAGTAAAAAATAAGATACGATCAACCAGTTCTCTCAGAAATCTCATAATAGTAGAAGTTTGGACAAAGGTTTTGAATAAAGAGTACAGAAAAGAGAACAGGAGAGGCAAAGTGAGATAGAAATAAGATTTATATACTCCCAGTAAGTGGTCGGGATTACCTTTCAAAGCGCGTGTTTCGTTACACAGAAAGTAAAAACTTAATACACGCAGGCTAAAAAGGATATTATCCCTGGGAAAGGAAATCAACCAGATTCGATTTAGCGATACTCCATGCAATCGAGATCGTCTAGGACATCTTCCCCGGATAAAAAGAAGAATACAGAGCATACGAGCAGTCTTGATAAGCGATTCTTATTCCATCGTTCGTGGTATCCCGGCCATTTCCATCGTTGGAAGCTGCCAGGCTGCTTAGAGACTCTACCAACAACTAGGGGAATTCTAGATAATTCGGTGCAAACTGAGCAAATGTCACGACAGGCTGTCTTTGGCAATCTGGTACAGTAGATGATGATGATGATGATTTCATTTACCCTGTCCCCTCGCGAACGATATGCAGGATACAACAACTATATATATCCGAGTATGTACATGTAGAGTCTTCCACTTCCTGAAAACGAACTTAGAGCCTCGTCACGGCCTGTCGTGGCCTAATTGCCGCTCCTGTTATTAGGCTGCCCTCGTGGCGCGCGACTGCGAAACCGTTGTGACGCCTCGGCGAAGTCCAGCACGGCGTTGACCGTTTTGGCCCGCGAGATGCTGTCTGGATTACCTTTCTTACCTTGGTTTGAGCCTCCCAGCAGACTCGATATGCTATTGAACGCGTCCCCGACTTCTCTCCTTAATTTTTTCCGCAGCCCTTTTAGTCTCGGGCAGTCTA